CGGCGGACCGTAGCGTGTACGGCCGCCGGCCACCTTACACCGGCGCCCGCAACTTCCCCACAAGGTCACCGCTGCCGCCCCTCTGCGCTCGTCCTCACCTGCTGCTAAAACAAACGCAGGGCAGAAATGAGTCAGGGAAAAGTTTGTGTGTAGCCATCAGCAGCGGTGTAACTACAAATCAACGGGGGCCCCTTAGCAAATTGTTTGATCGGGCTCCACTCAGTGATCCCACCCCGAGCTACTGACGGCTGTCACAGGTAGAGATGCAAATCTCAGTCATCCAGATGCATATTTCCACCTTCTTTGCAACGCATCTTTGGAAAAGCTGCGTTGTGGCACTGCCCCCCCCCCCCCTAATCCGAATTGACTTTCACACCCGAATCCCGAAAACGAAATAACACAAAATCCGAATCAGAACGAAACGAAACAAATTTTCGTTCGTTGCAGCAAAGTGACATTTGAGGGGGGAGAGGGGGAAATTCTCCTTCTCTAATGTCACTTTGCTGCAACGAACGAAACGAATAAGAAACGAAAAACGAAACGAACGTCCGAACGAACTACCGCTAACGAATTTCGTACGAATCCGAATTTTGAATCCGAATTGACTTTCACACCCGAATCCCGAAAAAGAAATAACACAAAATCCGAATCAGAACGAAACGAAACAAATTTTTCTGCCAGTGCACGTGTCTACTGTCCATACACGCCTGGTCACAGCCCTGTGTACACTGCACTTCGGTCCCTCTAACTACACACAAGCAAAACAAATGGCAAACGCACTCATCAACTCCTAACCAGCTGTAAAGTGCGGTGCACATGGAAGGGTTTTAAAGGAGAACTACGGGGTCAGTGTTTTTCCCCATAATTCTCCTCAAGGTCACGAGAGGACACAAACTAGCGTCCTCCCGTCACCCAAAGCTCAGTATATAGGGGGCTACAGCTCGCGGTATACTGAGACCGCCGAAGCCGGGGCGGATCCCGACAATTACTGTGGAGATCCGCCCAGCTGCGTGAGTGACAGCTGGCTCTGCCTATCTAGAGGCAGAGCCAGCTGTACCCGCCCCCTCCCCCGTCCGTTCCGCCAGTCTGTGCTGGAGGATCGGAGCGGGGAGGGGG